TATCTCTTCTAGTTACAACGATCTTTGTACTCATTTGCTACCAGCCATAGGTTAATAACTGTTATAAAATTTCACATGTGGAGGATGTGCAATGAAATAAATTTTTTGGTTTTTATATATATACATTTCAAATAACCAAAAAATCATAAATTACTCTATTGATACCATAGAATTCTACTATAATTTATCCAGCTTAGTAACTAAGTTGTATTTGGGTCTAAAAAAATATGAAATTTTGAGCAGACTAAAGCCTTGATTTGCCTCCTTGAAATATTGTAGCAAAAGAACGAGTTGATGTCATAATACTTGAAAGTGAGTGAGAAAGCCACTAGGGGTACATTGTGAGCTTTTGACTGGTTATTCACATGTTGTAGACAGAAGTAAGTGTATACAAGGAAGTGTTTCCAAAAATGGAAAGAGGTGAGCGGGGCCACTGTGTTTGATTCAGTACATGAGCCATATCTCAGCAAAGAAAAATGATGGGAGGTTTTTATTTTATAGTTTAGCTTGTCAATATCAGTAATTTGAGTTCTTAATTCTTAAGAAACTACAGACTTTGTACTTGGACATCACAAACATCTAATTTGAACCAGTGCTGCATTCAACATACCACATGACACACAAAAACAGATATTTATGATTTGTTTTACTTTTAAGTTTAAGTTAAGAAATTAACTAATGGATCATACTAAATTTTGAATTATAATCTACAATTTAGTACCAAACTTATTGACATACATTCATAAAATAGTAGTTCAATAAAATTTGAATGCGAGTCAACAAATGCGATATGACATAGCCTATGACCCATGACCTGTAATGATAGGGTTAATAAATCTACTGCTATGTATTTTTATAGCTGATATTTACTTATGTATGTTAAAGAGAAATGAAACTTTGTCTGGAAATATAGCAAACAGAATATAATTGGACTCTGCATAGCATGATAGGCTTCATGTTCTTCTATTAGTTTTAAAAAATGTAGGCTTTTAAGTTATTTGTTTAATATGCTTCCTGAAATATATAGCTTTTTTTTTATCAAAAGAATATTTATATTTTTGTTTTTCTTTAGTCTTCAACCTGGTGGTCTTAATAGTGTAAGACGAAGTTCTCGACTTTTCAGCAGCTCTAATTCTGTCAAAGAGAATAACAAAACGTCAAACAAAAGTAGTAGATTTGTCTCAGCTAAAGCTCCATCTAAAAAGACAAAAGCAAAGTCCACAAAAGGATCTCTTTCTCAGTCTAAAGAATGTGAATTAAACGAATTAAATAAGCCAGAAAACCAGTCAGAAAACAAAACGTCAGCCAATCTATATTCAATAACTCAAACAGCCATAGGAATGCAGAGAGCCTCAGCAGGTAAGCATTTCAAAATTTAACTAACAAAGTTAAAAATAAATAATATTTATTATTTCTTCTCCACAGACTATTTCATAAATTTGTCTATGAATATATATGTAATGACATAAAATTAAGTGTTTATTTAAAGCTGCTGCTTGTATGAAATGTTTGTTTTGAGCAATAATTTCTTTCTACAAAAAAAGATAAAATGTTAAAACTCAAATATATTGATAGACTAACTGAATTTGTTCAATAATAAGTTTACTTTAGTGCATTATGACATCAGGGTGACAAGACACTTCAAATAAAAACATAAAATTGGATATATATATATAAATATAATTATTGTGTATTAATGTTCCTAGTTTGTTTGTGTATGTGGTAAAGCTGTATGAATGCATAGTAATGTATGTCATTATTCAAATTTCACATGCAAAATCTTTATAACCTCCAGATAATTATCAAATGTTTGTTAAAAAAACTATATTTTATTTATTATTTTCACCATCGAATCTCTGTACGGGTTCGGTAGATTTATCTGATCTTACAACCACCATAAAAAATTAGGAAATAAATATAAATTATGCTTTTTTTAGTTCTAGAATGCCTACAAATTATAACTCGAAAAGACAAATGTTTAGTCTAAATAGCTTAAATGCTATAACATTATACATTCATATAAATTTAATAATTTTATTATATTG